TTAAAAAGCAAAATCGTCAAACCTTTATTACTGTGAGAGTCTGTTGTAACGAGTTGGGACACCTAAGTAGATTAATGCTACTATATTTTATGCAAAGAATTATGACATAATTAAAATTATATTTAATGATTTATGAGGTGCTTGATTAATGATCTGCTTATGTCATCGAATATTTACATTATTAATGTTGATTAATAATTTTTAGTGTACTAATATAGCAACTATAGCTATCTGATTGAAAACTGATAAATTTAATGTATTGACCGTGTTGTGATTTTTTTTGATGTAGATTTATCTCGTTAATGTTCATCCGGGTTTAAAAAGATCCAAAGTTTTGTATTTCTTGGGGTTTCTAAGGAACAATGCCAAATATGCCTAAAAATGTCTTAAAACAAGTGAAAATGACCTATTTAATTTCTGGAATATTGTACCATTAAGTATATGTATATTTAATTTAATTAAATCAAAAGATTATATACAGGGTATCTGAAATGTCTGGAACCTAGCCAATAAGTTTTGCCATTTGTGATTTTAAAGAAAAATATTTCAAATAAAAGTTTCTTTATTAATTATGGCGCATTTTTTGGCGATTTTTGCTTATTTGCATTGTTTCTTGTTTCGTTGCTATGGCAACCAACAATGTTATTTTAAATGAGATGTATATGTTTTTTTGCATATTTCGATAGAGGATAAATCCCTCTAAATCCCTAAGACAAAATGCGTTCTCTGAAAATGTTAAATCAGTAAATTAGAATCAAAGTAGGCGTTGAAATGACGTCATTAAGCATAAATTCAATTAAATTGACAGTTTAAGCAATTTAATGGCTCAATTAAATGAACGGCAAAGAATCGAAATTTGTACACTGTTCAATAATATTTACGTGGATAGACAAATTACATAATCCACAGTATCCAAAATATTAAAAAAAAATTTAACACCGAAAGTGTTAAAAACCTTCCAAAAAGTGGACAGCCGAAAACAGCTACCAATGACGAAACTACATTAAATGTGCTTTTGGCGGTTCAAGAACAATCCCAGAATTCTTTAAAAAATATAAGCCGAGCTACGGAAATTAGTGTCAAGTCGGTTGGTTGAATTTTAAAACTAGAAAAGTTTCACCTATATAAGGTAGGTATTTAAAAATTTGTTGGGATTTTATACTACTTGTCTCCATGTTTTATTAGCTTCAGCTTATTCACGAACTTGGGGATGACGATTACGACAGAAGAGTGCAGCTTTGCCAAGAAATGATTGGTAGGTGTAACGAAAATCAACAATTACTATTTAACATCCTTTTCCCCGACGAGGCAAGTTTTATGTTAAAGGGCACAGTATATCGTCATAACAGCCGATATTGGAGTGACATCAATCCACATTGGATTCAAGAAGGTCATACTGTAATATCCACAAAAGATAAATGTTTGGGCTGGCATTCTTCGTGGACAAGTTATTGGACCTTTTTTTATAAACACAACGTTAAATGCAGAAAGATATTAAAATCTGCTGCAAAATGAAGTAGCGCCTGCGGTTGAAGCTTTGTTCCCAGGAGCAACATTCCCACATTCCAGCAAGACGGAGCACTTCCGCATTATGGTATTTAGGTGTGGCAGTACCTAAATGTACGTTTTCCTGAGAAGTGCAGACGAGGACCCATTGAATGACCAGATAGGTCACCTGATTTATCGCCTTTAAACTTTTTTTTGTGGAGTTACTTGAAAGACAGCGTGTACGAATCGACCTCAAAATCTCAATCAGTTACGTGAGAGAATAACAACTATAATAGAACAAATCTCAAATGATATTCTTTTGAGTAGTGTAGATAGCTTTAGACGTTGTCTTCAAAATTGTTTGGATGTAAATGATGCCCATTTTGAACATTTGTTGTAGTTTTCATATCTCGGCTTATATTTTTTAAAGAATTTTAGTATTTGTGCACTTCACTTAGAATGCACTTTCTATCACCGTACCCATACATCATTGACATCATCAACTATCAATTTTTTGACATTTAAAGATGTCAACCATGTCATTTCAACGCCTACTTTGATTCTAATTTGTTGATTTAATATTTTCAGAAAACGCAATTTTTTCTCGATTTTTTCTTAAACAACCATATGACTTGATATGTTCATCGCGTAGAGTGATTTATCCTTTATCAAAATATGCAAAAAAAATATATGCATTTCATTTAAAATAATAATGTTGGTTGCCATAGCAACGAAACAAAAACAATGCAAACAAGCAAATATCGCCAAGAAAATGCGCCACAATTAATAACAAAACTTTTATTTGAAACATTTTTCTTTAAAACCACAAATGGCGAAGTTATTGGCTATATTCCAGGCATTTGACACACCCTGTATATTACAGTTATTGATACTATTATAATATAAAAAAGAAAAACTTTTTTTTCCTTGCCTCCCTACGTGACTTACTACAATTTTTACTAAACCCAGTATCACCATTTTATACGCGATAATAGGCATACTTTACTCGTATGCTGTTAAAAGCCCACATTTGCAGCTGATATCGACGCTGTCAAGTCAAAATGGCAAAAACGCCAAACTGGTCACGTTTTAGTTAGCTGCACCGTTGAACAGGATATTGAAATCTGCTTCCAACAGTTAAAGCGACATAACCGCAAACAAACTTGAATGGCTTCAATATTGGTTCAAAGTTTGAGCAAATGTCTATGTATTTTGATACGATGTGATGAAAGTTTTTTATATTTCTTGAAAAATCAAGTAGATGTCCCTTGTAGCGTTTTGTCTAACGTGTCTACCTGTCTACGAGTCATTTATACTTCACAATTTCCCAACCGTTTGCAAACAGTTAGCATACTGCTTTTGGTTTCAAGTAAACTATCTATGAAAGTGACTGTTAATAAGTAGACTCAAGCTTTTTTTTGGCAGAAAAGGAAAAAATACGTTACACACTTCAGCTTACCGTTGGTAAGTACAGAGCAAGTTTCTTATAGGTGTTGTATACTGACAATCCCTTATTGCTCTAGTGACTCCTAATTGTTCGATAAGTACGCTTAACGGGCAAAGGGTTTCTTTCCAGATCTCCGAGAATCTTCCGGTTTTTAGGCAATCATTGATGCATCGTAGGAAAGCCTGTGGATCTATTTCAACGCACACTCTGAGAACTTCGTATGTGATGTTATCATTACCCGAGCTCTTCTTGGATTAAACTTCGCATGGGTTCTTCTTTGTTGAAATCTTCAGAAACTATAGGAAAGAGCTGCCAAAACAAGTTATTGACATGTCATACCCCAGACCTCAGTTCATGAGAGTCTCTTTTAGTAGTGTTAACTTATCGGCTGTTATCTTCCAGCCTACAGCTTTGTAGACTTATCTGATTGATTGTTTGTAGTGACGAAAAAGAAAAATGAGAACAGTAGGTAGTCGCTGAGTACCTCGACCTCTTTCCTTACTTCCCATTTTTGTATACAATTAGCGTTATGTTCTGTGTCAGATCAACAACGGAGCATCATTTCGGTCCCCAATACATCGTTATGCCAGGTTTATTTGCGAGTATAAACCTACATTTTTTGTAACCCCCCATTAGTTTGTCTCCAGCCATTCTCGTCCTGGCGTTAAAGTTGCCACAGATTACCGCCGGTGTATTGTACGTTCTTAATTATCTTTTGAAATTAGCCAATGTTTTCTTAAAGTCTACGTTTTATAGAGTGAAGATATGGATAAACGCCACTTCCTTGCTGTTTGTTCTTAATTTTTGCACTTTTCTCTTGTTTGGTTCGTGTCGGAGCGCCATATCAATAAACTTTTGTTGAATTTCTGCTTCCAAGAAGTTGTGATCGTTTCACCATTTGTTGCAGTTGCTGTTGAGTTGTATTATCATTATTTTCGCCATTTCGGCGACTCTGAGGTACTTTAAAAACATCTCTCTTTTTTCTTCTTAGTAACTGTCTTAAACTACGTTTCTTTGCATCTGCCTCTGTCTTCATCTCCTCATTCACAACTGATTACTCTGGATCTTTCTTTTTCTATAGCTTTACTCTCTTCTACCATCATTCTTTTTCTTGTTTCTGTGGTTTCTGTCTTTTTCTCTTGGTTTTTCCTTTACTTTTGTTCTATACTTGTCCAAAAGCTTCTTGTATTTAGAAAGCCTCGCATCTTCTTCTATCATCATTTTCATAAATGACACAATCTTTTTTGTTAAGTGTAGGAAGATAATTTCTCTTCTTTCTTCTATTTCGCATACGGTTAATCCTATTTTTATCTTTCCTTCGTTTGTTAGTATTTCAGCATTCTCTTTACTAACTTTCACGGTTACTGCCTGTATGTTGCGCGTATGGTCTTAATTTTTCTATATTGTATTCGTCATTCTTCATCTCTCTGAGCTGCATCTTTACAGCCTCTATTACGTCCTTCCTTAGGGTCGTCACTTCCAGGCCCCCTTTATGCTTAGAAATACCTTCTTCCTCTCTATTAAACAGTATTGTTTCTGCGTTATCACCAATAATTTTTCATTTCTTGTTGTTTTATCTTTTCTGGTCGACTCTTCCTCCGGAGTGCAAGATGCTGCTTGGCTGGTGCATCCATCCGATGCTTCTGACTTATTTGTCATTAAACCATGTTTACAGATGTCTGGCGTCTGTAGCGGTTTATACCTTTTTAGCAGATATGCACTCATTAACACTGAACACTAAAACAACACAAAGTCTTCCGGTACAAAATTTCACCTGTATCCTAGACTCTTTATACCATCGGGGCCAGAGAGATCCCAGTTTTTTAATAAGGTATGCTTCTCCAGTTCAGGTACGTCCGGTACACCTGTATAAATATTTTACGAGGTTATCGATCTAACCAAATGATGTTAGATCTGAAGAAACTGTGATGATTGAGGTTACCTTTCATTTTTACTTTAAAATTAAAAGTCTTATAACATCTTATATCAGACATAAATGTTGGATTGGGAGCATTACGTCATAAGATTCTCGTTTAGCACATACAAAATTTTTTTTTCTATTTACTTAAACGCGAAAAGTATCACAACTAGTATAATCATCGAAGCAATAAACATTAATCCAATCAGCCTCCAATCTGTTTTATAAATACACCTTTCGCCCCTAAATCCACAAACCGGTTCAGCTCTTGGTAATTTACCTCCAACCCATTGAATAGGACGCGACATATCAATGTACTTAAATTCCTAAAAATTAAAAAATATAAATAAAGATCTCATTTATTATAATGAAATAAATTTTACGGGTAAATCAAGAAGACCTGTGGTATTAGAATCATATTGAAAATAACCAACCGGTTGCATACTCATTCTAAGTGAAGAGTTAATCTCTAAATCATCTAAAAGAGCTACAACGGTAAAGTTACCTTCAGCGTCCCCATTTCTATCGATGTAGATCTAAAAAGAGGATAAATAACAATAAAAAATGTTCTTTTTTAAGATAAAAAATTCGTTTACATCGTATCCTTGGATTGATCGATGAGACCTATTTAAAATCTTCTCTAAAACAGCTGTACCATTTCTCGGATCTTCATGATTGTCGAAAATCTCTGTTAAAGCTCTCGCGTAAATCATAACGGCGTCGTATAAATAAGCAGCATGAATTGGAACCTTTTGATTAAATTATTATTAAGAAAAAAAATTAATTAAACGAGAAAAATGTCATTTTTGTTGTCTTACGTTGATGCTTTCGAATATTTTTCGATGGTAAGGGACGCAAAATGGAGCCAAAGCTGAGGTAGCTTTTATTTTTTCACAAACAGTTCTAAAGGTATTGTAAAAAAGAAATATTTTAGAGAGAGGTAAAAATAAAGAATGAAATGGAACGAATACAATAAAACAATATTACGTCGGGTTTTATTGAATTCTAAGAAAAAAGATATTTTTTAAAACTCACTTGTATTCAGGGTTTCGGGGATGAGATGGGGTGAGTTTCAATACTGATCTGAACCCCATGTAATCGGTGGTGTTACCCCAAGGTTCACTTAAAAAAGGGTCCAAATAATCTAGAATAAAAACGAAATAATTTTAAAAACGTCAATCATCAAAAATCTTCTTTTTTGATTATGAGTAAGTGTTAAAATAAAGAAAAATATTAAATTAATTTTACTTAATCTTTGACTAATTGTAACTTTAATATCTGTAATATAAAATAGCAATATTCCCTTTACCAAAATGTTATCTCGTATCAAATTTACTGACATTATTGCATTCTGACAATAGATAATCATGTCCGTTATCCCTATTTCTCTTCCTCGTCACAAAGACTGCGAACACAGGTAGAGGACTAGATAGAGAAGTGAGAAAAGGATTGTAAAGATAAGAAAGGGATTAGAGAAAAAACTGGAAGACTGATTATAAAAAATAGAAATTGGTAAGGCGGCAACGGTGACAGGGAGGGACTGAAAATAGACTGAACAGAGGCTGAAACAACAGGAAGGAGAGTGAATACGGAAGAGGGAGACTTAAAAGGGACTATTAATTTGGTTTGGTTCAGCCATTCTTAAACATATGGCTAGGCTTTTATCACTTTCTCTACACTTGCACTATATCAGTCGAAATGGTTTCACTCTTTTCAATTTTCTAACTTAGCCATCGTTATCTAGGAGTTGGAAAACAACTTCGTTAATGTGCTGGTGTAGCCTCTGTTCGTGTGTCCAGGAATATTCTATGATAACGTTGTCGATAGTTCCCATATTTAGGTCCTTGTGCAGATTGTCATTTCGAACGTACCGTGGAACGGTGACAGTTCCTCTAAGCATTTCATTCTGAAACGTTTGCACGATGTTTCGATTGCGTTCATTGGTACAACGTCACAGTTAAATGTTATAGTGATTCAGACCACCCGTACCGGGGATTTTTCTCAATAACGCGATTACCTAAAAAGTTGCACTAAAAAATATGATAATAAAATCGTATATGAAGAATCTCATGCACCAGTTTTTATCACGCTGGTAACACCGAAGTTGGTGGTAATGACATCAACTTAAAAATTTTCCAAGTTGTCATATGAATTAAGTTTTATCGTAGAACAGATATTTTAAAAATAAACAACTTTTGCTTTAACTCTTCTTAGATTTAATGCAACGTTTAAATGCTATTGATGAAAATCTTAAGGGACCGGCTGAAATTATTTTTCAATAATTTATGATTTAGTGAGCTATGACTTCCACATTTGACATTTATTATTTTATTATTAAAAAAAGACTATGTTTACCAACGAAGAAGCATTTGACATGTTAATGGTGTTGGGAGAATGTAAAGAAAACTTTCGAAAAGCAGTGCGAAGATATGCGGCAAGATTTTCAACAATCGTAGCATGTTTTTAAACGTTTGGCGAACCGAATAAAACGTAAAGGTTGTCTGCAACCAACTCAGAACAAAGGCTTGTCGATTCGAAGAGTCAGAAGAGAGGAAAGTACTGCTGAAGTTTTTGAAGCGGTGAACTTGAATCCACACGTTTCTACACACCGGATTTCGATAGACTTCATATTAACTCAATTAACAGTATGGAGAATATTAAAGGTGTCCATCAGGCTATTGGTGGACGAGACTTTGAAAGAAGGCTGGCTTTTTGTAATTGGATTTTGGATCAAGACTACGATTTTCCTAGACGTATTCTTTGGACCGATGAATCGCTTTGTAAAAGTAATGAAGAGGTAAATCTTCATAACACCCACAACTGGGCAAGGGAAAATCCGCACTGGGTAAGATATGTTGACAATTAACACTTATGGATCCTCAACATGTGGTGTGGTATTATAGGAGAGCAAATAATTGGTCCACATTTCTTTGATACGGCTCTAAACATCTACTATTACATCTACAATTTTCTACTAGCATCTTCTCTACGATTGCTCAAAGATGAAAAATTAAATTCTTCCAATAACGCAGCGTAGTCAACACCTCGTTCCGTATACCGACCAACTGTTTTAAAATGTAAGTTTTTTAAGAACCTCTTCTGCACTCTCTCGAGCATGAGCTGGTGGGAAGTATAACAAGGATACCAAACCAGAGAACCATATTCCAATTTTGTACGAACAAGCGCATAGAAAAATACTGTTAATGCAGCTACATTGTTACATTTTTTGCAATGTCTGATGAAAAAACTCAATGCACCAGAGGCTGACTTTACTATAGCGTTAACATGGTCTTTGAATTGCAACTGGTCATCGAATAAGACACCCAGATCTCGAATAGCGCGTTCTCTGCGTAATGCTTCAACTCCCACATTATAATTAAAGGTTATTGGGTTATTACATCTTGTGTAAAATATGACAACGCATTTTGCTATGTTAAGATCAATTCCATTTTGTATTGACCAGGAACTGATAATGTTCAGATTGCGCTGTAAGATAACACAGTCTTCAGGGGATGTTACACGAGCGAATATATTTAGGTCATCGGCGTAAGCAAGCAGATTACAATCAAGTCGTCTGTGGAACACCAGAACCAGCAGTGAACGTATCAGATTTAAAACCGTTGTAGCTCACATAGTAAAGTCTATTGGAGAGGTAAGATGAAATTAAATCCACGAAATTATTGGTAAATCCAAGACTGCAGAGTTTAGAAAGAAGTATTTCATGATCTAATCTTATTAGAATTAACTGTTTTTGGTTTATTATACGTAATTTATTTATCAGAAACCTTTCTCCAATGTGTTTACTTTTGGAGTTATGGACGATTTTATTAAAGAAAATCAATAATTTTGACATTTTATGGTTTTTATAGTTCTAACTAAAAAATTATTATAAACAAGCCAAATATGGTGATAGATTAACTCTTTTGGGGTTATTATAAACAAGTTATTTATAAGACACTTTTCTCCATTGCGTTTAGTTTTGAAGTTATGGACGATTTTATTAAGATAATCGACGATTTTGATATTTTTCGGTTTTTATAGTTTCTAAAAAAAATTTTATAACCAAGCTGAATCTGGTGATGGATTCACTATTTTTGGCTTGTTATAAATAATTTATTTATAAGATACTTTTTTACAACTCGATTAGTTTTGTAGTTATAGACGACTTTATTAAAGAAAATCAACGATTGTGATATTTTGAGGTTTTTATAGTTTCTAACAAAAAAATATTATAATCACGCTGAATCTGATGATGCATTAACTGTTTTTGGATTATTATAAACATTTTATTGACACGATATTTTTTTTCATCACGTTTAGTTTTGGAGTTATGGACGACTTTATTATTGAAAATCAACAATTTTGATATTTTTCGGTTTATATAGTTTCTAACAAAAAATTATTATAACAAAGATAAATCTGGTGATGGATTAACTTTTTTTAAGTAAATTATTTATAAGAAACTTTTCTCCAATGCGTTTAGTTTTGGAGTTATGGACGATTTTACTAAAGAAAATCAATGATTTTGACATTTTGCGGTTTTTATAGTTCTAACTAGAAAATTACTATAAACAAGCTTAATCTGGTGATGGATTAACTCTTTTGGGTATATTATAAACAATTTATTTACAATACACTTTTCTCCATTTCGTTTAGTTTTGAAGTTATGGACGATTTTATTAATGAAAATCAACAATTTTAACATTTCTCGGTTTTTATAATTTCTAACAAAAAATTATTATAACAGCTAAATCTAGTGTTTAATGTGTGATTAACTGTTTTTGGTTTATAATAAGCAATTTTTGGAGTTATGGACGATTTTATTAAAGAAAATCAGAGTTAGGTTAAAAGTCGTTTTGTTATGTTAAGTTTTGTAAAATAAAAAACCTTATTAAAGTATAGAATTTCAAAAACAAAAATAAAAAATACAAAGCGTTGTAAACATGACTTTTTGAGTAAATATGAAAGGGATAGAAAGGAAAACGTAATTAGGTTTGAGGATTTGTGGATAGTCAAGGAACTAGAAAAGTTGCATCGTTAGGGTGCTATCTTGTCCTGACGATCTCATTCTTTTCAAGAGAGAAAAAGAGAAAAACATGATTGATCTCCAACAAACCCTCATCAAAGAAGAAACAAAGAAAAAGAAAAAGCCAACAGAAGGACAAATATACGAAGAAAGAAGAAAACAAGAAATGAAGACCTTATAATCAATTAAAAACAAAATAAATAAGATCAAATTATAGTTACTAAAGGAGATAAAAATGCAGGTTTGATATTTATTAACAAAATAGGTTACATTCAAAAAACAGAACATTTTTAAATGATAATAATTGCAAAATTATACAAAGAAAGCCCATAACAACTTATAATAATAAAATTAGAAAACATTTAAATGATAATAAGTATAGAGCATATTTATTTGTAACTCTATATTAATTAATCGTATAATAAAATATTAAAAATTAAAGTGGAGTATTTGATAGACTGTTTTATGTGTGTCTATCCGTTTATTTATTATTTTATAACTATAACAAAATCGCCATGGGAAAATACATTATGTTGATATAACATGATGTTTCTATATAAAAATAATAAGAGTGCGTGATGCGGTACAATAAGGTTATCCTAGCTAAATATAATCAACAATCAAATTTTGTAATACCAATGAACGCAAGAATACCAAGATTATACTCCATGATCAAACTTCATAAAGAAATAAACCAGAAAGCATTCCACACGATAATAAAAGAACATTTAACACGAAACAACTCGAACTTTGGTAAACACATAATCTTTAATACAGCACATGAATTTGACAAAAACAAAAACCTGACTTTGATCCACAATGTAAAAGAAAGCATTTAATTGAATTGCTGGAAGGATATGAGAATAATAAGTTTATGAACAAATTCAACCAATTAACCGATAACTATACACTACCTAGAAAAGATCGAGGTCGTCAGGACAAAATAGCACCCTGACGATGCAACTTTTCTAGTTCCTTGGCTATCCCCTCAAACGTAATTATCTTTTCCTTTCTGTTCCTTTCATATTTTCCCAAAAAGTCATTTTTACAACGCTTTTTATTTCTTATTTTTGTTATTGAAATTCTCTTTATTCCCGCTCTAAACAAATCATAAGAAATTTTCCTATATTTTAATAGGGTTTTTGATTTTAATAAACTTGACATAACAAAACGAATTTTAACCTAACTCTGTACACATTTATTGTTAATCCAATATTCAACAATAGTTTAAAAATTTTTTTAAAAAATTTTAATTTACGATTGTAATTGTATTCTTTATTTGACGTAAGTTTTATATTATTGATATTTTTAGTGTTTAACCTAACATTTTTAAAAAAGTTTGCATGTTGTAATGATCTTTAATTTGAATACGTTTATCTTGTATCTAGGTTTTTTTCCTGCAGATGGGATAATTAGACCCTGAAACTACTAGACTAAATAATAATTAATTACATCGTTAATGTGCAAAAGTGTTTTAATTAATTTAAATCCTACGATGTCAAAAAATCAAACAAACAAACATTTAATTAAATAGACAGTGGGTGTTTTTCTTTACGTCCGGAGTAATAAAACAAATGTTGTGCACTTATGAACGTATTAATTTATATTTTCTCTACCGGTTTCGCAGTTTATAAAGTAACTGCATCATCAGGAGAATCGTCAAAACAAAGACAGATTAACAACCAACAAATACATTAAGCAGTTAAATCACAAGAAAAATATAAAACGATTAAAGATCGATTGTAAGAGACGCGTGTAGCTGCAAGAGACCTTCCTGTTTAACAGTCTCTTACAGTTTTAACTGCTTAATGTATTTGTTGGTTGTTAATCTGTCTTTGTTTTGACGATTCTCCTGATGATGCAGTTACTTTATAAACTGCGAAACCGGTAGAGAAAATATAAATTAATACGTTCATAAGTGCACAACATTTGTTTTATNTAATAAAACAAATGTTGTGCACTTATGAACGTATTAATTTATATTTTCTCTACCGGTTTCGCAGTTTATAAAGTAACTGCATCATCAGGAGAATCGTCAAAACAAAGACAGATTAACAACCAACAAATACATTAAGCAGTTAAATCACAAGAAAAATATAAAACGATTAAAGATCGATTGTAAGAGACGCGTGTAGCTGCAAGAGACCTTCCTGTTTAACAGTCTCTTACAGTTTTAACTGCTTAATGTATTTGTTGGTTGTTAATCTGTCTTTGTTTTGACGATTCTCCTGATGATGCAGTTACTTTATCAACTGCGAAACCGGTAGAGAAAATATAAATTAATACGTTCATAAGTGCACAACATTTGTTTTATTATTTAATTAAATGTTTAGAAACACTCCCATTTTCTCCTCAACATGTTTCAGTTCTTGTTAACATGTGACGGTTGGTGGCCTCACGGATAAAGTTGCCAGGTATTGAATTGAAAGCAGCTCGAATTCTGTTTTGCATATCATTTTTGTCGCTTACAGAATCCGCATACACTTTGTCTTTAATAGAACTCCTAATAAAAAAGTCCAGTGGAATTAAGTCGAGAGATCGCGCTGGATAGCCCGTTAATTCAAATTCATTAATCTTCAAAGATATCGTTTAGTACAACTCTCACTGCATTGGTCCTATGTGCAGGAGCATCGTCCATTTGATACCAAGCATCACAGGTTTCATATTCTTGAAGAAGTCGCAATGCTATTCTCAACACATTGCGTAAAATTTTTAGTAAAATTCTACCGTTTTGTAACGCACAAAACACATTAAAACTCCCGATTCTTGGAAGTTTCGCTCACGAATGACTCTAGCATTTTCCGGTGCCCAATAATGATTGTTATGGCGATTATACTCTCCATTTTTCGAAAATGTTGCTTCATCGGTCCAAATTATGTTTTTTTGTAAAATCGTCATCTTGTGTCTTAAATAAAAGTTCGAGTGAAATTAAAATAAAACTGTGTGTGTTTATGAGATGGATAGTTTTTATTTTCGGCTCTATCGGTTTCGATTAATATTTTAAATCATCTTCAGGAGCATGCCACGTCATGTTATATATTTCGAAAACCATACCTTTTTTTATAAACATAACCAAACATTTTAGGGACATTCTATATAGATTTTCCAAAATTTTTCATAAAATTCAAGAATTAATTCATATGTTAGGTTGCCGTTTGAAAAAATTGACTTTTAGGACATTTCTCAAGTTCAACTTTGATATTACAATTTGAACAGCCTGTATAACATTTCGAAGAACCTTACTGATCCTTGATATTGCATTACTACCACAACATTCCTAAACAAAACATTGTTTTCCAGCGATCAGAGTAGATGATTTATAAATTATTGAAAGTAACATTGTAGCGGACATTTTATATTGAAAAAAATTTATATTTAAAGATGACTCAACTTAGGTATAGAGTATGTAACATACAATTGACCTAAAATTGAACAAAGATTTCAAAAATGTAATAAAATACAGGATTCATTTGAAATATGAAAATTGTCACCACCTCCGGTGTAACCACAAGTGCCTGGCAACTAAAAATATTTTATTAGGTTGAAATTGAAGCTAATATCCATTATACCAGTTTGTTTAACGTGATAGAAAAAATTTCGAATTTTGTTGTACTTTTACTGGTTTACTTATATTTTTGTTGTCTAACTAGTTTCGGCAAAAAGCCATCATCAGAGACAACTACAAGAATTAACAATTTTTAATTAATAAGTGAAATTTAAATATGTGAATTAACAATAAAAAGTTTTTTAAAAAATACTTACAAGTCAATGAATTTTACAGGGAATTAACATCGAAAACATAAAGCGGTGAACAAATTAAAATTATTATTGTCACATAATTTACTTAAAATAAACGTAAAATTTTTTTTATAAAATCTTTAAAGATTTAACTCCGCATAGACATCTTTTGTGGTAGATGTTACAAGATGGTCTGAGTTCAGGTTTTTCTTTTTTATATTTTCTTCGTAAGAGAACAATATACAATGCACATGTACGAAAATATTTGGTGACGTATTTTAAATTTAAATTCAAAACACAAAATTACCAAACAATTTCACTTTACTTTCCTTTGACGTAACAAATTTATACACTAATATACCAGTGTCCGAAACCTTGATTCTTTCTAAAAATATGATAAGTAACAAAATTAATCAGGTTGATGCAGACAATGTTTACAATTTACTGAAAATATGCACTGAACAAAATTTTTGTCAGTTTGACAATAAATTTTATAAATATAACGAAGGCTTAACTATAGGATCTCCTTTGAGCGGCCTTCTCTCGGATATTTTCCTTAATCATCTTGAAAATACAATTTTTGATACTAACAATCCTCTAAATAAGAACGTAACCCTTTGGCGTAGATATGCTGATGACGTATTAATTATTTGGAATAATGAGAATGATGTCTCTATTAATGAGTTTCATAATTACATCAATAATTTACATAGTAATATTAAATTCACTTTNGTTGTAAAAAAATTGTCACAGAAAATATGATAGGGATAACTTCTAATTGATAAAAGGGTCTCTGCATATTGAAGAACTACTGATGGTCCTAACCCAAGTTCCCTATACTGAACTTTTATTTCGCTCTTGGCGCCCTGATATGGTTCAATCCATACCACGTATCCTGAATCAATAGCACCGGTCCAAAATTTATAGCCATAACGAATGGGTTTTCCACGTATAAATTGCTTTGCTCCGTGACGGCCAAAATAAGGTATCATAGCTTCATCGACGCTGTGATTTTCTTGTAACGGAGCAAACCTTTGGAACGAGTCATTCATTTTCTTTATCAACGGTCTTACCTTCGTAAATTTATCAGTTTTATCCAAAGAAGCGTTATCACAGCAATGTATATTTCTAAAAATGTATTCAAATCGATCCCTGGAAATGGCATTAGAAACCAAATTATTATGAGCATCTGCTGTATTTTCCCAAAACATCCTGCGACGTGGAACATGAACATATCCACTGACTAATAGAACAGCAAAGAAATTTAGTATTTCTTCTTTGGTGATATTGGCAGGTTTGTTGTGTTGGCTTGCGTAAAGATTAGAATATCCTAAGAACATGTTTATTATTTCTTCATCCCAAAAAAAATCAAAAAGCTCAAGTGGCGAATTGTTATTTACAACATTATGAACAAGTGGTATTTCTATATTAGGTGGCTCAATGTCTCTCTTTTTCCATTTATAATGCCTTTTTATTGGTCCGCTCTTGGCGCTTTTCGTTTTCTTCATTCGCGATCTTATTTCAGCCAAAGTCAAATCGTCTTCAGAGGTATATTCATCATCATTGACCTTTACTGGTTCGGGGAAAATCGGTACCCGTATCCTCCAACGAATGAAGTAATTCATCCAACGTAAGGCCTCTAAAAAAAGTATTTGTATTTGCCTACTGTCCTTTTAAAAGGACACCCAAATCAAATATCAAAATGGGCATCCATAACCAAATAAATTCATAACCAGTAGGTTAACCCAAACATGGGTTACAGTTATATAAAATTCAACAGCAGTTAAACGTTTTCCATGTATTTTACACACTATTACTCACCCAACCAACTTTAAATCTATCGGCCTATCCATTTTTTCAAAATTTTCACTGTATACACTCGTACTATCACGTTTTAATATCAACTAAATACCAAAACAAGTAAACAATGTCTTCATAAAGCCAAATAAACCTGCACCATCTATCTGTAAAAAGTCTAAATGCTAAATAAATATATTTAAAGATTTCTACACTGGATGTCCTTTTAAAAGGACAGTAGGCATATTTGGGTTAAAATAAACGTAAAATTTTTTTTATAAAATCTTTAAAGATTTAACTCCGTATGGACATCTTTTGTGGCAGATGTTACAAGATGATCTGAGTTCAGGTTTTTCTTTTTATATTTTCTTCGTAAGAGAACAATATACAATGCACATGTACGAAAATATTTGGTGACGTATTTTAAATTTAAATTCAAAACACACAATTACCAAACAATTTCACTTTACTTTCCTTTGACGTAACAAATTTATACACTAATATACCAGTGTCCGAAACCTTGATTCTTTCTAAAAATATGATAAGTAACAAAATTAATCAGGTTGATGCAGAAAATGTTTACAATTTACTGAAAATATGCACTGAACAAAATTTTTGTCAGTTTGACAATAAATTTTATAAATATAACGAAGGCTTACCTATAGGATCTCCTTTGAGCGGCCTTCTCTCGGATATTTTCCTTAATCATCTTGAAAATACAATTTTTGATACTAACAATCCTCTAAATAAGAACGTAACCCTTTGGCGTAGATATGCTAATGACGTATTAATTATTTGGAATAATGAGAATGATGTCTCTATTAATGAGTTTCATAATTACATCAATAATTTACATAGTAATATTAAATTCACTTTGGAATTATAAAGCGACAACCAACTAAATTTTTTAGATTTAACTCTCATTAAGAAAGGAGAATTAATTGAATTTAAAATTTATAGAAAACCCACACAAACTGACACTGTAATTCCTAATCTTTCTTTCCATCATAATTCTCATAAAGCTGCAGCTTTCAGAGCTTATATACACCACTATCTGAACAAGATAGAAATAATGAATTTAATATCATTAGATCTATAGCAATTAATAGTGGTTTCTCAATACCACAGATAAATTCTTTAATTAAAAAACTTCAGATAAAACATCAACTTAAAAATTCAACCACTTTACAACCACTCACACAAAATAATAATTTAATATATAGATCAATTAATTTCCCTGGTAATGTTGCTTATAATATCCAGAAGATTTTCCGTAAATACGATATTAATATTTTCTATAAAAACGTAAACACTTTACAGAAAAAACTATTCAACGCCAAAGACAAAATCAATTTATTAGATCAGAATGGTGTTTATAAATTAGAATGCAGTACTTGTGGTGCTACTTATATTGGTGAAACAGGTAGATCTATCAAAACTAGAATTAAAGAACACCAACATAATGATAATTCCAATTTTGGTAGACATATGTTAATGTTTAGACATGATCTTGACATACAAGAGGGTGTTACGTTGCTACATAAACAGAACAAAGGTTTTAAACTTAGTTTATTAGAACAATACGAAATAGATAAGTTTAAGAATAACAACACAGATTTAGAATGCCTTAATGATCAGGTACTTTCTTTAAAAATCCCACTTTACAAATATTTAACCATTCCTTTCCCCCAAAATGCAGAGGATTAATGCATCCGGTCCGCGTGCATTTTTCGCACTTTTTGGGGTCCCAGTGGCCAATCCCCCTTTTTCCTTTTTCGAACCCCAATCCTTATACACTTCTTAATATTTTTTTTATATTTTAAAATTCCCATTTCAAGTCCCAACATCCCTATTAACCCCACTATAATAGTTCATAACTATGAAATATTATATAAAAATCATACATTTTTAATTACATTTAACTACAGAAAATTTATTTTCATGTTAGTCCTTGATAGTTTAATTTAAATGAGTTTTCAAAATATTTTCCAGTTTGAATTTAAAATTAAAATACGTCACCAAATATTTTTGTACATCCGCATTGTATATTGTTCTCTTACGAAGAAAATATAAAAAGAAAAACCTGAACTCAGACCATCTTGTAACATCTGCCACAAAAGATGTCCATGCGGAGTTAAATCTTTAAAGATTTTATGAAAAAAATTTTACGTTTATTTTAAGTAAATTATGTGACAATAATAATTTTAATTTGTTCACCGCTTTATGTTTTCGATGTTAATTCCCTGTAAAATTCATTGACTTGTAAGTATTTTTTAAAAAACTTTTTATTGTTAATCCACATATTTAAATTTCACTTATTAATTAAAAATTGTTAATTCTTGTAGTTGTCTCTAATGATGGCTTTTTGCCGAAACTAGTTAGTCAACAAAAATATAAATAAACCAGTAAAAGTACAACAAAATTCCAAATTTTTTCCAAAAATATTTTAGTTAAAAAGTTCGCACCAAACATCAAATTTTCAAACCTCCACTTCATTTGGTTCTCTTCTATAGAAGGTAACGGATGGGTCTCAGTATACTACCCTGTTGCACGCCATCTTGTATTTTTTTTTCAAGTCAAATATTATTTTGTAAAATCCTGAAATATCGTTTTGATAAATAGGATTTTAAGACTTTTGAATATTGAACAGGAAGAAGCATTTCAAGCTTGTGGTTGACTTTAATCTTTAAAGTAATATTTTTTAAAACAGTTTCGACATTATTGGCAGTAGTGGTATTAGCCGATAAGACGTTGTAACTTCCCCTGTAGAGACAGGTGAAATTACTCTGTTTTCTTGCTCAATGATATCTGGTAGTGGGTCAGCATCGTTGTCTAGATTAGGTTGAAATATCTTTTCTTTGTGAATCTTGAAGCTATTTGTTCGTTATTTCTGGCCCAGCTACCGTCTTCATTTTTGAACGGAGGTGTTTGCATGGTGCCATTTTTTTATTTGTTTCTTAGTTGAGATGAGGAGCTTTTTTACAAAACGTAACAAGACACACGAAGTGTTTTTTGAGCAAACCAGAAGGGTTTGTGACGATGTTATACCAAATGTAATGATGCTATTTTCTTTTTTATGTTAGTTATTGCATTAGTCTTTTTAGACACAAATAATTACTCATTAAATATGCTTCATCGCTGAGAATTCCCAAAAAGACCCTTGGATATAATAATAATAATAAAGTTTATTGCCTCAAAAACAAATATTTACATAAATATATACATTCATAACAAATATAGACATCAAGACAAACGGATCAATTTATCGTAATAAGCGATATCTCTTCCAAGAGACCCAACTGGTAACAGTGTATATGTAATTTTAAATAAATAAATTATGCCTACCAAAAAAGTAATACTAAATGATGTGCTAATAAAACTGAGCGAATGAGCATATTTGAGTTATGTAACGGATCGACAGTCAGTTACTACAAGGAAGGAAATAGACCCAAAAAAAGTGCTGTAAAAGATAGATGAAAGGCAGACTAGAGAAAAAAACAAACACGTATAGGTCAAGAAGAAGATAGTTGAAGAGATAGCAGATGGCGCCTCAAGGCATTTTTAAAACTTATTAAACTAGCTGCATTGTGAACAACGGCAGGAAAATTGTTCCACAACGCAATCGACTGCACTGTAAAAGATCTGTGGTAGATTTCAGTACTATGGACTGGAAACATGAGTGTAGAGTCCGACATTGATCGAGTGGGTAAGTCATGTGATGCTAAAAAGTGTAAGGCATCAGACAAACTAGCAGGAGTGCGGGTATGGACAATTTTGTACAATATAGTAAGCATTCGAAATGATCTATTACTCCACATTATTGTCAACACTGATTTTAACCAGTGGTAGTAGTTGCTGAACGTGTTTCTCATTTCCAAACAAAAGAGCAGCACACTTTGCCGTATTTAATAACAAAAAATGTTCACGAACATAAACTGACAGTCTCTGAAGATCATAATTAATTTTATTTACAGCATTTTCATAATCATTAAATGGAAAACCATAGTACAGTTGAGTGTCATCCGCATACATGTGGACATTACAATATTTGAAACAATTATGCAACAATGACGTATAAATGGTAAACAGCAGAGGGCCCAANAAAAAACAAACACGTATAGGTCAAGAAGAAGATAGTTGAAGAGATAGCAGATGGCGCCTCAAGGCATTTTTAAAACTTATTAAACTAGCTGCATTGTGAACAACGGCAGGCAAATTGTTCCACAACGCAATCGACTGCACTGTAAAAGATCTGTGGTAAATTTCAGTACTACGGACTGGAAACATGAGTGTAGAGTCCGACATTGATCGAGTGGGCAAGTCATGTGATGCTAAAAAGTGTAAGGCATCAGATAAACTAGCAGGAGTGCGGGTATGGACAATTTTGTACAACATAGTAAGCATTAGAAATGATCTATTACTCCACATTATTGTCAACACTGATTTTAACCAGTGGTAGTAGTTGTTGAACGTGTTTCTCATTTCCAAACAAAAGAACAGCACACTTTGCCGTATTCAAAAACAAAAAATGTTCACGAACATAAACTGACAGTCTCTGAAGATCACAATTAATTTTATTTACAGCATTTTCATAATCATTAAATGGAAAAACATAGTACAGTTGAGTGTCATCCGCATACATGTGGACATAACAATATTTGAAACAATTATGCAACAAGGACGTATAAATGCTAAACAGCATATATTGATCCCTGTGGAACACCTTTATTAACTTGTAATGGATTAGAGACCGAACTACCCAATTTGACACCTTGATGCCTATTACTTAAATAAGATTTAATTAAGTCCAGGAAAGATTGATGACACC